CTCTTTAATCTTAAGCCAGTCAGCTTTAGTCTGTAATTCTCTATATAGATACCAATAATATAATCTTAATTGGTTAGCAAAAGGGTGTCTTTCTTATGATTTCTTATGGCATGATTACTTATATATATATATATATATATATATATATATATATATATATATATATTAAGCTAGTATATTTTTTAGAATTCAGAATTTAAAAATTTAAAGTTTATCTTTATTGACATGATATCGAATCCCTTACCTTTAAAGCAATTATATTGCTTATGGAAAAACAAAATTATTAGCGTACAATCTACAAAACAAATAAATAAAGAATCATTAGTGAGTAGAATAAATTACAATCTTAGCTTCTCAGCATTACTCTTTTAAGTTGACATTTTGTCAAATCGGTGATTTATTTATAATCTCATAAGTTCGGATATATTTAAGTTGTCTACTTTGATTATTTATAGAATTTTTACTCTAATTATGTTATGTCAAATTATTGCTCAATTTAATTGTATGAGGGAGAAACTCAGAGATTAAAACAAGGAATATATTAAAGGACAAATTACTTAACTACACTCATTTACTTACCTTAATATCCATTTATCCCTACTTATTTCAAAAAATTTAAAAATCTCTTATTTACCTATGTATCCCGTGCACAACGCTATGTATCCCGCTATGTGAAATGCATCAAACGCTATGTATCCCGTGCACAACGCTATGTATCTCGCATGTATCCCGTGCACAACGCTATGTATCCCGCTATGTGGAATGTATCAAACCTAATGTATCCCGTGCACAACGCTATGTATCCCGCTATGTGGAATGTATCAAACCTAATGTATCCCGTGCACAACGCTATGTATCCCGCAAACATCATTTTTAAGGGATTTTTGATAAATAGAAAACTAGAAGGAATAAGATGTTATTTAGTACTTATAATATGTGTTCCTATAATTTATACATTAAAAGAAATCCTTAAATCTTGTTTGCTTTTATGGTAGGACCAATTAAAGTTTTTAATGTTATTGATCCTATCTAATTATAATATCAAATTTGTTATAAAGAGTACATTTTATATAGGGATAAGGGTATGAAAAATATCCCAACTTTGGTCGAATTTGTTGTTGCGATACTAAACTTTCATGAGGACCTATTACCTCCCTAGACTATTTAATACCGTATTTTTTACCCCCTGAACTATTTAATAGTGTATTTTAAAGGTATATATGTGCCCACATGGACACATTACTATTTATAATTTTGCATTATTTTTTATGTCCACGTGGACAAATATATATGTTTAAAATACAGTATTAAATAGTCTAGGGAGGTAATAGGTCCTCATGAAAGTTTAGTATCGCAACATCAAATTTGACCAAAGTTGGGATATTTTCAAACCCTTATCCCTATTATATATGATATGTAAATTTGGTATGTGGTGTGAAGATTTAAAATTAACAGCGCACAAAACTTAAACTCCGCTAAGTAATATGTACTATTGATTAGCTCAAGATAAATTGTATTACAATTATATTGTTCGTGGCAAACTTACACGTAACTTTTTATTAGATTATTTAGTATCTTAATTTTTATACTAATCTATATATAGTAGTAGTATCTTTTTCTTTTAACATATATCGCATCAACTTATATTTCTTAGCATAAGTATAGTCCAAGCATCCAAATTAGGTTGGCCAAATTCAGTGCAATTCAACCACACCCAAATCGTATCGAATTAATTCGAGTGAGGTAAAATTTTGGAAAGATATGAATTACATAGAGTGTAGGCAATTAGATCCTAATTTATTATGGTAAAATTAATTGCCTAGTAACAAATGGAAGGCTACCTGATCACTTCCACTATAGTAGTTAAATATACATACATGCATGATCTTTGACAAAAAAAAAAACAAAGACTAATCCTTTGAATTATTTGGTCCATTGTGAAAAAAAGGAAAAAATTACATAATCAGATATACTACACTATCATATATACTATTATTCTGGGTGATCAGAATAGGTCTATAGATATATGGAATGGGGTGGTAGAGAAGTGCGAGAAGAGGTTGGTGAACTGGAAAAGTCAATATCTCTCCTTAGGAGGAAGATTATCACTAATCAATAGTGTTTTGGACTCTATGCCTACCTATATGATGTCCCTTTTCCCTATCCCTGATGGGGTCATTGAGAGAATGGATGCTCTAAGAAGAAATTTTCTCTGGGAAGGGAACAGTGAAACCAAGAAATTCCACTTGGTAAAATGGGATGCACTGATTGGGAGTAAACAAAAAGGGGATATGGGGGTCAGGAACTTAAAAACTCAGAACCAATATCTTATGATGAAATGGCTCTGGAGATTTGCTTCTAGTGAGTTAGCTCTCTGGAAAGAAGTAATCCAGTTGAAGTATGAAATGGCAGATCATTGGACCACCAGAATGGTCAATGATACTTATAGGATCAACCTTTGGAGGTCCATTAGAAACCTGTGGCCAAAGCTTAGAGAAAATTTCAGCATAAGAATAGAAGATGGCAGGAAGGTACTCTTCTGGGAAGACAAATGGTTAGATCAAGCCTTCCTAAGGGACATCTTCAATGATATTTACACCCTAAACCAACAACAAAGGCCACCGTGGCCGAAGTCTGGTCAAATCAGGGATGGAATTTGAGCTTTAGAAGACCTTTTAATGACTGGGAGATTTTGAGGTTAGTTGAGTTCTACATCAAATTGGAGCAATTCAAAGGAACTTCAACTGACCAAGATAGATTGGAGTGGAAAGGCCACAGTCAAGGTAGTTTCAGTGTGAAAGGGGCCTATCAAAAATTTAACCCTTATGATAATCAGATTGAGGATTGGCCTTGGAAACTTATATGGAAAGTCAAAATTCCTTATAAAGTTTCTTGCTTCACTTGGCTTGTGGCCAAACAAGTTGTTTTAACCCAAGAAAACCTCATGAAAAGGGGGATACATCTAAGTCCTAGGTGTTTTTTCTGTGAAGAAGGCTGAGACTGTAACCCACCTTTTTATACACTGCAGGATTACCCTTCAACTATGGGAAATGTTTCTAAGTAAGAAGGACTTGAACTGGGTAATGCCAAGGAAAATAGATCAGACTTTGAAGATCTGGAGCAGTTATGCTAACTTGTAAGACCATAAGGATAGGTGGAAAAATATACCAGCTTGCATCTGGTGGGCTGCTTGGACAGAAAGAAACATCAGGTGCCATCAAAACAAGAGCAGCAATATCCAGAAGATGAAGATGAAGTGCTTAGTTTTGTTTCATTTTTGGTGTAAACAGGAGTATAGGGAAGATCTAGAATCAAGTATGGATGTCTTAGGATCATTGTAATTTTTTGTTAAAAGGGTTGAAGATCTTCTAGATTCTCCTCATCAATTATAATTAGGAAACCTGTAACTTGTTGTGGCAAGTTTCTGTTTTTGTGGAAGTAGAATACAAGTTGTTACCTTCTAAAAAAAAAATATACACTATTATGATTTATATTTTAAAAAAATTATATATCATATCACTAATTAAGAGTTTTTAATTATATATTCAAGAAGATATACTTAAATATATAGGAGAGTAGTGAGCGAGATAGGAGAGAGGCGAGTGAAGAGAGTGAGATTTGTTATGTATCCCAAATAGATGCGAATCAACTTAGCTATAATGTATCTAGAACAAATTATACTTAATTTTGACCCTATGTATTTAGTCATATCTTAATGTATCTAGACATACTAAAATCTGATAACATGAATAATGTTATAAATTAGAGTATATCTAATTAATTCATAATCTAGTGAGATTTACGTAAGTTTTTTTAAAAAGGGGTAGATAGAAGCCCACAAGAATGAAAGAATGCTAATAAAACTATAGGTTAACTAGGTAAAATATGTGTTTTTGTCAAGATTATAGGGAAGACAAAGGTTTTAATAGATAAGAAGGGGAAATGCATTTTTTAAGAACTTTCATAATTGCATCTTCCATTCACTTTACTACTTGATAAATTTTTTTGGTTTTGGTGAAAACACCCTTTTAACTCTTGGTGTAGGATTGGAATTTCGCCCCCTTTTAACTCTACAAAATATTATTCGTACTTGCTATTTATTTTAATTTAATAATTTTATGACATGTATTTATATATATATAGACTTAAAAGTGTTTGAACATGTGAGTGACAACAAACTAAGTAAAATGCAACTTGCACCTCAAGTGCAGGATACCTGATTTTGGATTATTATTCAAGTCATACCTACAGTGCGTAAACAATAAGTCTTCATTTCGGAGCAACTTCTTACATGTGATGTCTGAAGTTAAGCTTGACGAAGCTGAACTTCAATCAAAGTTTAAGCACATAGTTGAAGTTCAATCTTTATTGATTGATCAGGTATATATGATTGCAGTTGAAAACAATAACATACTAGGTGAAATTTTACAAGTAGGGTCTAGGGAGGGTAGTTGAAAACAACAACATACTTAGTGAAATTTCACAAGTAGAGTCTAGGGAGGTTAGAATGTACGTAGATTTTATCACTACCTCATGAAGATAAAGATGGTGGTTTTGAATGACTTCGGCTGAGATGTAGCAATTCCAGATACAACGAAGAAAATATATTGAGTCACTAGAGAACAGTGCTAATATCAAAAACAAGAATTAATTATTACTAGTACATTAACAAACATCAACCACCCTAAACAAAACAACATTATATTACCTATTAATCATTTACTGTAATACAAGGCCTCCACACCCTCCTATTTAAGGTAATTTTCTCGGTAATCTGAAGCTGAGTCATTTCCAGTCGAAACCAAATCCTCTTAATGAACTACGTGTTGACCTGGAAATTGGCATTTTCATTTTCCAATTTCCCACTTCCTCACAATCTACATAACTAGCAAAAAAGTTAAATGATGCATTTCACTCAATCTACAAGCAGTGAACAAATTCAAGAGTACACTAGAAAAACAACATTTTCTATTCTAACAACATCCTCAAACTTATACTATACTTAAGTGGCACTATTCTATGATCATTTTACAACAACTCAGTTTACTTTGGCATCTCCAATATTACACACTGGAAATTATTAGACCATCATCACTACTATCATCTATTACCTTATTGGAATTAATACGTTTGTAACTAGCAATGTATTTTTCGCTGTTGTTCCCGCTAAGGAGAGGAGCAACATCATACTCTGTATCTGGTGATTTTCCTCCAGAATACCTAAAGGACTTGCATCGATGAAGTATCTGCAGAATCTCTTTCATGGAAGGCCTGCTTGCAGGTAAGTTGCTCGTGCATATAAGCCCGAGTCTGAACACAGTCTTCATTTCTTCCAAGTAACATGTTTCTTTGATATCTGTATCTAACATATTATCGATGGCAGTGTTCCCTTCTCCGTGCTGCTTCCATGCCCATTCTGCCAGGCTTGTATGCTCGTCCCCAAAATTTGGTTGTCTTCCTGTCACTAGCTCCAATAGCACCACCCCGAAGCTATAGATATCAATCTTCTCGTTCACTTTCGTTGTATAAGCATACTCTGCAACCAAACAGTAGATTATTAGTTAGTCATTCTTTTGATAATGTTTTAACGAAATTGAGGTAATACGAAGTTCAAGATTGGATTTTGCTTTTTTTACCTGGAGCTATGTAACCAAAGGAACCTGCAACAGCAGACATGGTGTTAAGCTCTCCTTTCTTCTCTAAAATCTTGGCTAACCCAAAATCAGCTATTTTGGCCGTGAAATCAGAATCCAACAAGATATTGCTTGATTTTACATCGCAATGAATGATCGGTGGAGTGCAGTCATGGTGCATGTAACAAAGTCCTTGAGCAGCTCCAATGCCAACCTCCAATCTTTTTGGCCAATCCATGACTTTATTACTCAAGGAAACTCTCTTCTTCCCATGAAGCCATCCATCAAGACTGTGATTTACCATGTACTCGTAAACGAGCAACTTTGAATCCTCACTTGATATACAACACAATAATTTCACTATATTGGAATGTCTAATTGATCCCAATATCTGAACCTCAGCCAAGAATTCCCTCTCCAGAATGTAGTCTACTTTCCTATCACTCCAAATCCTCTTCACAGCAACATACTCATTTGGTCTGCCAACGGAAATTCTGTACACCTTACCCGATCCACCACTTCCAATCATGTTATTTTCCGTCAAACTTGACAAAATGTTCGCCTCTGTGAAATCCAACCTCTGGAATGAAGTCAACTTCCAGCTTGCAACATCGCGCTTATGCTTCTTCCTCCTGTAGTCTCTAACCATGAACAAGGTCGATACAACACTAAATAGGAAAACAGCGAATGCAAGGACTAGAATCAGGGCTAGGACTCTATGGGACAATCTATTGGAATTGGCGACTTTCGCATTATTACAACTTGGAAGATATGGAAGTGAGTTGGTGGTACAAAGACTGGGATTGTTCAAGAAACTGTCTTCAAAGGCTAGGTTAGCAAATGCATCAGGGATATTCCCGGTAAGTTGATTCGACGATACGTTAAGGCTGGTGATCCTTTTTACACCTAGTTGAGGTGGAATTGGACCTGAAAATTGATTCTGAGACAAATCTAGAGCAACAAGATCAGGGATTAAACCTATAGATGCTGGAATCTTGCCAGAGAGTTTATTCCTGGCAAGATCCAATATTACCAACGACTTCCAGGATATTATATCGGCTGGAAGTTCTCCAGATAACAAATTACCATCAAGCTCTAGCTGAGTTATCTTAGAAAGACTAGTCAATTCCACTGGAATCCGACCTGAAAATGAATTGTTACTTGCCAAAAGCACCATCAAACTCCTCCAAGAAGATATCCCCACAGGAATTTCACCAGTAAACTTGTTGTTACTGATCTCTAACCGCGTAAAATTGAATGCAATTTTGCTCGGTAGCTCCCCGGAAAATGAGTTATCACTCAACAACAAACTTGTCATGTCAACCAAAGTCCAAACCCCAGATGGAATCTCACCCGAAAACTGATTCTTGTAGAGCTGAATCGAACGTAGACTAGAACAAGTTCCGAGTGATTTTGGTATTTCACCAGACAAATTGTTAGCATAAGCTACAGCACCAAAAAGAGTTCCTCCAGCACACAAATGCTCTGGCAAGTTTCCAGTGAAGGAATTCAGTGAAACTTCAAAAGATTCGAGTTTCGAATGAAGTCCCATTTCAGATGGTAAGCTCCCATTCAGTTTATTCCTAAACACTTTGAATACCTTCAAAGATGGAATCTTGGCTATGCTCTCTGGAATTGCTCCATACAATTGGTTACCAAACAGATTCATAATTTCCAAATGTTTAAACCCTCCAAAACTTTCTGGGATTGTTCCAGTTAAATTGTTGTCGGAAACATCAAGTTCCATCAACTTTGATGAATCAAAAGTTTCAGGGATTCGACCCGAAAGACGATTACCGTACAAGTACATCATCGTCAAATTCTTCAACAGAAACAACCCAGAAGGGATTTTTCCTTCCAGATTGTTGTAAGCAAAATCAATAAGCTCAAGATTCTGAAAATCCCCGAAACTTTCAGGGATTTCACCGATCAATTTCGTATCTCTCATCCAAATATACTTTATCTTCTTCAGCTTCCCAAACTCCGGCGGTAGTGCCATCGGAGAAAACCCATTAAACTCCAACCCCAAACTTTCAAGATTGGCTAAGTTCCCGATTTCCGCCGGGAAACTCCCATCAAACAAGTTCAAATTCATACACAAGGTCTCCAGCTCCGTCAAATTCCCGACTGACGGCGGGATATCTCCGGTGAAATTATTACCACCCAAATTAAGATACTTGAGTTTCCCAAGCCGGTGAATATCCTCCGGGATGGAACCCACAAAGTAATTCTGAGAAAGATCCAAATGCTGCAAATTGGAACATTTGTAAAGAAAAGTTGGGAACTTTCCGGGAAGATAATTCAACCGGAGATTAAGAAAAGTAAGATTTTGAAGTTCACAAATAGAACTTGGAATTTCAACAGTGATATCTTTTTCTTGAAGTATTATTCCGGTAACCTTCCCATCATCACACTCAATTTCCGGCCAGCTACACGGCGAGGAAGTAGAGTTCCATGAGTCAAGTGCTACTGGGTTTCCCCATTGACGCTTAATCTTCAGTAGAGTGTCACGTTCAGTAGTGGCCGGAGATTGTGAAGTTACGAAAATGGGTATGAAGTTTAGTAGAAGAATGAGATAAAGGGACCGTTTTCCGGTCGGAAAATGGGAAAACTCCATGAAAAAAAAAAGGTGAGGTTAGAATTATGAGTTGATTTTGGAAAGTTTAGTCAACATTGGAGGTGTGAAGAAAATGCCAAATTGATAAAAATGAATATATAGAGATAAAATTTTCTTAGTATAAGATCAAAAAGTATGATGTTTAAAATAAGTGGGTTAGTAAAATACTGATTCTGTTGAAGCTTCCACTGAGCTGCCTAACACCAAAAAAAGCTTCGAGATTTGGGCCCCTTTTCTTTGACCATTGAAATATTTTTAGCTCAACAACTCAGCACATTGCCCGTTTGCCGTCAAACAGTTCACCAAGTATATGTTTGGAGTTGCACTAGTTTTTCTCCTTTTTATCACCTCCGACCCAATATTAGGGCCACGTATCAATCAGTTCAGTTTGATTTTAGAATTTATTCATTTGGTATATTTATCAATTCAATTGATTTATAGACAAGTTAAATTGTTATAGAACTATTAAAATATAACTTTATTCGTTTAATTATTGATTTTGGTTTAATTTTGAACCGTTCTACCTAACACTATATTTTACGTCAAAATTTATTTTAGTGTGAAATTTAGTTTTTAAAACTCCTATCTAACACTATATTTTACATTTCATAATTTTAAAATTGAAGGTGGATAATGCTTGTCATATGAGAAATTGCTATAAAAAATTTAAGGTTTCTCTAATTGGGGAAAATAACTTTCCTACGGAAAGTAGATAAAATACTTTTCTAAAGGCGTAATACATAAATATGTCATTTAACTTGGCTTTAACTGATATTTATATCCTCTAACTTTGAGAGTGAATAAGTAGACACTTAAACTTATATAAAATTGAATAAATAGATAAATTTGTCCTACGTGGTAGTTTTGTATCTTATGTGGCTTCCTGCGTGTATTATGCCACATAAGACGTGTGTGTTTACTTGTTCAATTTTATAAAAATTTAAGTGTTTAGTTGTGCACACCCAAAGTAGGAGGGCATAAATATCAGCTAAAATCAAGTTAAGGGGTATATTTATGTAATATGTCTTTCCTAAATCCTCTTTCAACCTTACCCCCGCCACCTAACCCACTCAAACGCCCTAGATCAGTAGCTCTCAACCTACCACCTCACCCCCGATCAATTGACTAGAGACTTGACTCAGGATCGTGCGATCTGAGATCCACCCCACCAAGAGACTCGACACTATCTCGATACTAACTTGAGATTTGACATCCGGCTCGAGATCCTCCTCAACCTAGGACCAACCGTGACCTTGAATCGTAATTTAATCAATGAACCAAATGTGCTTTGATATGCATTGTTTGAGTCGAGGATCTTTATGAAACCATATTTTTGTATCTAAGAAGTAGGGGTAAGACTTACGTACACTTTATCCTGATCAAAAGCTCACATATGAAATTATACTAGGTATACTATTGTTATTTTATTTAATTAAGTAAATCTTTTAAAAGAGAGGTAAATAATATTGTGCACAAGTACTCTTAAGGTTAGAAGTATAAATATTTTTTTAAGGAGGAAAAAATCTTAAAAGACAGATAATATGAATCAAATATAATAGTAACTACTTTTTTTGTTCTAATTAATTTGGAAATTTTTATTTATGAAGGTCAATTCGATTTAAAGGAAAATTAAATTAAATATATTAATTTGTGTTTTATACTTAAAATTTAGATGTTAGGAAATTTCTAATATATAAGAGGCTACGGAAGCCGGTCATGGACGAAATGCCTGCTTCCCGCCAAGGTCATTTATGGTATTTTACATTTTCTGTGCTTTAAAAAGATTGTACCATATTGCTTCAAAAGTGTACTCTTTTTTGTCCGACATAAACACCATTACACGTGTTTCCTTTTGACCTCTTTTGCTGCTGACTCTTTTGGCTTTTATGGGCATTTGCTTAACTTTGCGTTTAATGCTTGTGAGTTGTGGGTCTCCCATTACTTCTATATTTCATTCTATTTCTCTTTACACAATCCACAACTTCTTAAATAGTAGTATCAATTATAATAATCTATAAAACATTATAATAAACTCAGATATTATATTTCATTTTATTTTGATTTTTTTCGCATGAACTTTTACAAAATCAAGAATATTTTACAGTGTGATTTTAAATTAAAAACATGTTAAATATATCAAAATATTTTTTAATATTTTGGTCTTAAATATGTAATTTTTGTGCTTTTTTCCATTTTAATTATCTTTTGAAAAATAATTTAAAAAAATTCTATAGATCACGATAACGGATATTTTTTTTCAATATTTAAATTTTAAAAGATACATAAAAATAGATTTAATTGATTCTCAAAATTTGTTCGGTGCCACATAAATTGGAACAAAATAAGTACTAACAAATATTATTTGAAAATGACGTAAAAAATATTATAAATCACAATAATTAACAACTTGAAATATTTGAAAAAAGATATAAAAAAATTTCTGATTTTTAATATTCTATTTGCGCCACATAATTGGGACATGGAGAATAATATATATTATTTTAAAATTATGTAAAAATTTACTATGATTCATAATAATTAATAACTTTGGTTATTTAAAAAACATAATTTTTTAAATAATTCTTCAAATTTCAAATGTGTCACATAAATTAAAACTGAAAGGGTAACATACATTGAGCCCATGTTGGTACTGGCTCCAATGTCTAGTTACACAGTGTGTAAATTTTATATATGTCATATATTATAGTAATATTTTCAAGCTATAGTAGTAGATTTAGACTTTCAAGTTATAACATTAAAAATTTCAGGTTCTAACAAATAATTTTTTTTAAAAAATTGTTTTCAATAATTGAAAAAAGTTGTTTAAATAAAATAAAGAGATAAAAGAAAAATGAACAAAAAAACGTTTTTTTAATGAAAACAGGTAATAAACTGAAATTGTGGTGTTAATTTAATTTGAATTTATTGTAGATAATTAATAAATAGCACGAATTAAGGGATTTAAACTAATTAAGATTATTTAGTATCCTTAATTCACTCAAATCAGTTAAAATCAAATAAAAATTCAGATTTTATCTTTTTCTTTTTCAACGTTTCTCTCTCTTCAATTTGCAACAAAAAAATTTCAACGTTTCTCTCTTCAATTTTCAACCAAAAAAAATCCCACATTTGAGTAATTGAAGTTTTTTTCATCTTTGAAAATTCTTGATTTTGTTGTGATGGACAACTACGTATCAATTTTAATCAAACATCGTGAAAGATGGGATCCTTCGGGTTAATATTTGTTATTGTTTAATGTTTGTTTTAGAATGATAGCGAAATGACACAAAAATGATCAAGCTGTCGATTAATTGAAGGTGGAGTCATATTTTGTTAACTGTTGATATCATATTATGTTTACTGTTGTGAAATGTAAAAAATTTAGTGTTTTTTTTGTTTATTTGTTTATTTTGTATACAGTTGTTGTTTTGTGAAATTATAAATTTAATGTGATTTTATGAATAAGTTTGATAGAATAAATTAAATGAAATTTGTATGAAAGTGTGCTAATTATTATGTAAAAACAATTTAATTATAATGTTGACGAATTTATGAAAATTTATTTTATTTGATAATGAATTTGATAGTATAAGTCGAATGAATTATGTATGAAAAGTGTGTTAAGAAATATGTAAAAAAAAATTGAAATTTTTGACGAAGTGTATTACAAGTGTTTTAAATTGGTATTAAATGTGAAATTGTTGAGTTTATATTAGTTTTGTTATTTTTGTATAAAGTTGGGTGACAGTAATTAATTATTTGGGACGAGAAATGTATATAGTTTGAATGAATAATCGTTTTTTATGAAATGTGTATTAAATCAATATGAAAATGTATAAATTTGGTATGAATGATGATTGTTGTATGAAATGTGTATTAAGTGAGTATTAAATGTGAAATATTATGTTTTGTATGAAATTTGTTTTGTAATTTACTGTCTAAATGATATTTGTATGAAAAAATAATGACGAGTGTGTATAATTTTGTTGTTATTATAATTATTTTTATGGATGAAATTTGTATTGTCTTTGGAATGAAAAGTTAATATTGTTTAACATATTTCTAATTGATTTGTATAATGTTAGACTAATTGTTATTTTTTTTTAATGAAATAGAGAATTATGTTGATTTTCAAATGAAATGAATTATATATGAAAGAGGGTTGTTGATGTGAAATTCAAAAGGTCCAAAGTTACTTGCAGTAGATGTTGTCAAGTTGACCACAACATGAAGCATGTTCATATTATCCTGTGCAAAACTAATGATTGTTTATTTGTTTAGACTATATATAATTTTTATTTTATTTTATCGTTTAGAAATATGTTTTGTTTTGATATGAAACATAATTGGTTTGAAGTGCATTATAAACTTAGTGTTTAATATACCGTTCATTCTTTAGACACGGTTCATTCATTAATCATATAGATTGCATACTGTTAAATATAAAATTTATTCCAACTTAATACATAAGATAGTGTAAATATTAGTGATAATTATAAAAGGTAATTATGGTATCCTGAGTATTTAATTTAATGTAAGTTTACATGAATATTAATTTGGTTTTCAACTGGTGTCCTACTATAAATAAATTTAAAACAAATTGCAGTTATTGTTTCATTCCCACACTAACTTCAGTTAGTGTCATACACATATTAATCAAAATTTCATACACGTTTTATCCAAAATGTATAAAAATTGATAAATTCATATAATCACACAATTTATACCATTTGTATATCAATATCATATCACAATTCATACAATATCCAACAATAAAATATTAAACTCATAGGCATACACGTATTAATCAGATTTCATACACGTTTCATCCAAAAACAAGTTTAGAATATAAAGTAAGCATAATGTGATTTTTTTTAGAAAAAATCAGTAGTTTGACAAATCATACCATTTTCATATCATTTTAATAATTTATACCATAAACACAGTTAATAGACAATTACACCAATGTTAAAACGCAATTCATACCATTTGTATACCAT